GATAAAAACTGCCGATTCGTTTTCAATCCACTTTTATTTTTGAATAGAAGAGTAAAAGGTTAATGATACGCGCGATGTTTGAGAGTTATTTCATAAGATATGAGTGTCAATATGGATAATATAGCTGTAGGCGTAAACATCTGTAGATGGATAAATATAAATTTCGATACGTTGTAATTACAAATACATCGTTTGTATCATCTCTTCTTCACTAACAAGGAAGCTGCCACTTGTCATATTCGATAATATATCACAAAAGCATACACATACACACATACATGTTATCCGTTTCAAACGTATAAAGTTAATTATGTATCTCACTGGCTTGCATGTCGTTCATTCTATTTGAAAACTGAATATAATAGCTCTCTTTCTTTTTATTATGCTCATCAACTTGCGTACGGTCATTAACCACATATAAATAGAGTAAATGTACTACGTAGATTAATTATGTTATATGTACGAACTAATCAAAATCGATTTACATATTAGTGAGACATCTTAAGGAATATAACTTTCACACATACTGTTCAAGATTTTGATTAATAAATGCCAAATGTACAAGTTATTTTCTAATACCATAAAACAATTAAACAAATAATTATCAAACACGAAAGACTCTTTAAAGAGAACAGGTTTTGTATTTATTAGCTTATTTGTCCTTTTCTAGTTCTTTGAACATACGTAGTGCTCAACAAGTTGTAAGTCGACTTAATTCTGATTACGTCAGATATAGTAATCACACAGTGTTAATCGCTCGAGAATTGAACCAGTTCAATGATCAGCACGAAAATGAATATGTCAACTAATTATTGCCTTTTCTTTTTTTGTTCTTCTTAGTCATTCATCTGGATAGTGTAGCATTTGCACATTGTTTTGTCAAGTCACGATTGAATTTAGAGCACAGAGTCTCTAACAAGACAAAATCATATTTTATTTGTGACAGATCATTACAACGAAACCATTGAGATGACAATGCGAAATGTCTGTTGAGAATATCTTTGTATTGTATTGATGGCATTGACCACCAACAATACCATATGTACAGGTGTTTAATGAGGAAAAAAAGTAAATGATTTTTTTGAAACAAAAGAATTGTATTTTTTCCGATAAAGTTCAATGTCAAAAAGAGGGCTAAATTTTTTTGATGATGGACTATTCTTATCAACTTTTTTTTTTTTTGGTATTTAGATCATTAAATATGAACATTACGTTTGGTCGATGTTTTTTTTATGTTCAACTCATAAAAGATCTCTCATCGGTAATTGACTTGATTGGTCGATATATATTTAATGAGTAGAAGAACGATATGTATAGAACAGAAAAAGAGAGAAATAAAAACCGCAACAAACTTTCTTTTTTCTTTCTTTTTGTAAATACGGAGCTAGATTTTATATTCTTATCATCATATAGTCTACATTTTAATAAAATGAAAATTTTCAAGATCGAAATAATTTTTTGTTCTGAAAAAGAGCGACGATGGTTGATTTAACTTCTGTCTTGTTGTACATATTGTAGATACAATACAAACAAATTGATTAACCATTAGTTGATGACTAAATGAACAATCAGCAGGTATAGAAATAAAAAATCGTCTTTTTAAAATCGATTTACACTAAATTTTAAAGTATTTTTCGTCTACTTTTCTTTTACGTCTACGTACGTATTATGTCGAATTATGAGGAAACAAATTGCGCGATATGTTTGATCGAAAAATAAGATTTGATCAAACGATCTGAGCACGCGTATAGTTTTTATCTTTAAAATTAGACTATACTTGACTTTAACACAATATCAAATAGAAAATTTGTTTTTTTATTTCTTATTTTCAATAGTATGATAATCGTGTTTGTATTTTATTATAAATATTGAAAAAAAATCAATCAAATATTTCACCTGTTTTTGTTTTTTTTATACAAAATAGCATCTGTTTTGTTGATTTCTGAATTTCTCCTATTCTTTTTTGTGTGAATTAAATGAACATGTCGAACATGATACATTTTATACGGCTTTTACTCATGTGACATAAATAGATAGGTGACTGAGAGCATAAAAATAATCAGATTTATGCATATAAATTCTTCATTGACTGACTAACTATGTATGATGATCGAAAAGAATAAAATTTTTTTAAATTACAATGTTGCTGATAATAGAAATGTGGGTGTGACACATCTTTGATTTAAAATGAGATTTTATTCATAGACAGAACTATATATAGCAGAAAAAAGATTTAAAAGATGACATGTGTCTTAAAAATTATCAGTTTGTTCTAATTTTTTTATGTTAAATCCCGAAGACTAGAATCACATTCTAGTATGACGAGTGTGTGTGTGTGTATGTGTGTGTATCGATTATAATCTCTCATTCAAGCAATTGAATGTATTATTGGTGAGACTGTCGGAATTTTTCTTTTCATTTACAATCTGTACAAGCGGCTAAACATCTTTCTGTTTTTTTTTTATCATTGCCGTTGAATATCTTCTATTATCCGATAATTTTTTTTTTTTCTTTTTTTATTTGTAACTGAAATAATAGAATCGATAAACTTACTTTTAAAGACTTTGAACTCAGCATGATCGATAAAAAAAAATTGAATCTTGAGTGTTTTCTTTTTATAATAAACTTCTTGATAGGTATTTGTCACCATCATATTTATATACTCTTTTAATTCTATAATGAGTTTAATCTATTCTAAGATGAGTACATAAGATCAAAAATCACTTTTAATTGTCAAACAAATTTATAGTGTTCATTTTTTTTTTTCTTCTTTTAAACAATGACAAGAATAAAAATCAAGATATCGGTCATTAAATACTCGGAAGTTTTTATTTTTCTAAAAAAAAGGTTTTTTATCTTTGTTCTTTTCCGAGAACGAGAGAGAGATTTTCGAACGGAAACTCGATCTAAATATAAAAACATTTTGATACGGATATATTAAATCAATTTAAACAAAATACATCATTTACACACGTTCGGAGAATAAGTCTAGAAGTATCTTTGACTATAGATATGAGCATCAGTCAGTAAATAATTATATTTTTTGAAAAACGAATATAAAATGAACAGATAATGAAAATGATCTATAATTTTAAATTTCGACTGGTAAAAAAGCGTTGATAAATACATCATTAAAACAAAAGAAAAAAATCAATATGGAATTATCTCGTCAATGTTGATGATTTTCAAATATAATAAAAGGTGAAAAAAAAGGGTGACCATCATTTGTAGCGTTGACAGATAAATTAAGTGTGTGAATATCGTTGATAAACAAGATAAAACATCGATTGTTAGTTTATATAAAATAGAGTTAATTATAAACAAAAATCATCATCATCATCATCATTTGTCTTATTAATAGAATAGAAAGTCTATAGTAGAAGAATAAAAAAATCAATAATATTCTTTATAACATTTTTCATGTGTATATATATACTGTTAAATTATCCATTACAATATCTTCAGACTATAGTCTGTCAACACACCAAAATGTTGTTTTCAAATAACTGTATAACATTTTTATAGTATATCACAAAATTAATAGATCTTAATGAAATAGAGTGATGACTGACTGTTTAAACTAGATCGTTTACAGACATTAGAAAATGAGAAAAGATTGTAGATAGATATTAATCTACAAATTTAGCTAAAAGAGTATCAATTAAAAAACGTACTATGGCAGAAAAAAAAATGATAATTCATTATATTTTTACAAATTAAATATTGTAAGTAAAGATATTGATGGATGAAACTTACAAAATGGCAGATTTCAGTTAAGACAGTTTATTTGCTCATTTTATCTATAAGTCAATCGTTTGTTTAAATAAAAACTTTTTTGTTTTTTTGTTTTATATACACATTAATATTATCAGCTTTTATATATAAATAAAATTTAATATCAATCAAATAGGAAATAGTGACAATATTTTTATTATTAGTTTCAAAGAAAGATAAAGTGTTTTAATTTTAACAGTTATTTACCGACACACGACAATATGTATATGTATCGCCAATAGATACACAATAAATAAAGCCGTGAAAATTAGGATATTTGTACGTATAAGAAGACATTGAGAAGATACTTAATATTCATGAAAATTAAGTTAATACCGAGGATAAGGTGATAAAAGTAACAATACACGCGCTATATACAATACACACATTAGCATAGACTGTGACATTTCTCAGAATAGACATTATTTTCGTCGACTAGTTAAGTGAAATCTCTTATTGAGTCACGAAAATATCAGCCCTTCAAATTCACAATTATCAATTGTTAAGTTGAATAGTTTGTTAGCTAGCAGGTATGTTCTAATCGTGTTGTGATCTGATCCTATATCAAAAACTAAAATAAATAATGTGATAACTCATATACGACTTGCAACAGTTAATTTTACTTCTATATCTTAGGTCTCTAAAGACAATGGAAAAAAATATCTAGTAGTTGTGGTCAATTCAGTCAGGGAGGTCGAATGACACTATCTGTTTGGCAAAAAAAATTTCGACTGTTTTCTGCTTCCTGAGGCTTCTTCCTTCCACCCTCCCCCCAGGAAAATCGTCAAAGATCGAAAGTTCTTTTGTCAAACAGATAGTATCAGTCGATTCTCCTGACCGACTTGACCACAACTACTAGATATACATTTTTCCTCGTAAGTCTGAGATATAAAGTGTTGTAATCAGGCATGGGCGAGTCTGGACTAGAAGATTTTTTGGTGGACTCGACCTCGGATTGGAGATTTTGTATTTCGAGTCCAATCTAATCAACTTTTAACACAAATGAACAGAGAAAAATGAAAAGCGAAATAATAACACCTTCTCTTTCACAAGAAATTGAAAATTTTGTTCGGGAGATGGACGTGCAAAGTAACCTTATTTTCTAAAAATCAAATATCTATCCAGGGCTCAGTTAATTAAAAAAGAGAAATAAACCACACTCATCAAAAAAGAATCGAAAAGATTACCATACTCAAAATGGACTCGGGACTCGGACTCGATCCTTAATGTTAAGGACTCGCACTCGGACTCGGCCAGAATTTTTAATGACCCGGACTCGGTATCCCTCGGATTCGCCCATGCCCGATTGTAATTCACCTATTGAAACCATATTTTTCTTTTAGATATATATATATATCGAAAATAATGTTCAGATACAATATCCATTTTTATGTAATACTTATTCCATTATGTTTTTCATTAAAATATCTTCCCGAAACATCGATTAAAGAAGAATTATCGATCGGTTCATTTATAACAACGTTAACGGATAAAATTCCGAATTTAGATCAATCGGATGCCTACGATTTAGTTTCCACATCAAATGATTTAGATTTATTTTCAATTAATCATACACAGCAGACAATTATTGTAAAAAAACGTATTGATTTCGAACAATTATGTGTTGAAAAACATATATGTAATTGTAAACATTGTTTAATCTATACAAATATCGCCGTATCTAATTTATTGACAATTGATGTTTATACTCTACCAATTCATATAATTAACATTGATGATAACAAACTATACTTTAATATTAATCGAACAGTAATTGAAATCGAAGAAAATATATCACCAACATCACATCTATATTTTCCATTACCAATGGCTATCGATGATGATTTTGATAGTCAAATTACCTATGAATTATATACAGCTAACTGGCAACCAACAACATTATTTCGTTTAATTAACTCAACAGCAACAAAAATTAATAAAAAGAATATTCAACTTGGTTATGATAATAGTAGTTCATCATCATTATATTTAGAACCATTGAAATCATTTGATCGTGAACAACAATATATCTATTTAATGCGTCTTGTAGCTAAAAGTGGACTATATCAAACATCAACAGATATTGTTGTACTTATAACAGATGTAAATGACAATGTTCCACAATGTGACCAATCTAATTATAAAATATCGATTAATTCTATGAATGATAATAATATAACACGAATAACAGCATATGATTTAGATCAAGGAGAAAATGCTCGAATTGTATACACTATTGTCAATCAACATATTTATCCTAATAATTTATTTACTATTGATCAAATCAATGGAAATATTAAATTTACTTATAAAAATTGGACAAGTTATTTGGATGATTTTACAAATGAAAATAGTACAAATAATTTATTTCAATTAAAAATTAATTTAACAGATTCTGGAAAACCCAATCAATTGTCATCCGAATGTGTGGTAGAATTAGAATTTACATCAGTACTAGATATAGTTATTCATCTACACGAACATCTCATAACGAATGAAACAGGTATGACATTCGATAGTCACGGTTAACAGAAGATATTGTCTGCGCCCTGTGATCTAATTCAGAGACAGATGAGTAAACACAATTTTTTGAGTATATCGCACAAGGGGGAAAAGGCAACTGAGGGATCCATGCAGATCCACACGGATACAAAAGGTGTCTAGAATGAAAGAGCATGTGATTTTATGGTGTTTCAGATCCTTGGTTTCCTTTCGGACTTGATATCTGTGAGAAAATCGATTAACTTTGGCCAATATCTTTGCGAACACATTGTGATGTATTTTTTGTACTTTTCTCGGAATGAAACAATTTTGAAGGAAAGTCAATGGATATTACTACTGGAGAGTGATGTTTTCGGCATTGACGGATAGACTCAACCCATATAAAACTTACCAC